ACCAGGGGCCGGGAGGTGGAGGGATGCGGGGCCCAGACCTCTGCACGCCCGCGAGGGGCCGTTACACAACCGCGGAAATCCTGCTCCACGGCTGCGGCCAAGACGGCAGAACACGCCGAACCCAGGTCCTGGAAGGGGCGGGCCCTGCATGACGCAAAGTGCCGCTCCCCTCGGATGCCCCCGGGGACGCCCGATTTGGCCCTGGGGTCTCCGTGCCTCTGCTGGTTCCTGGTCATCGACTTTAAGTTTTGAAGAGGTTTTTTCCCCTCTTTTCTTTCCTCTGGGGTTGGGACGTGACTGAAGACACAGCAGAGAGTGCAAGCTGGAGGAAAACCAGAAGCGCAGAAGGAATGGAGCGGCTGCCTGTCCTGGCGTGACTGCCTCCTGGCGCGGATGGAGATGAGGCCTGTCGTTACTTATGTACCGAGTTTACTTCTCATCTTGTCAAAACCGACACAGTGAGGAACACTTGGGTAACCCAGAAAAACTGAAAGAATAAAGTAATCACTCGTAGCCCCACCGTGTTGAAGACAACCAACAACCGCTCCAAATGTTCTGGCACAATATCCTCCCAACTCTTACTGAATGTAAGCGGATTAATGTGCGTATATGAACTGATTATTGGAAAAGATGGACACAGATGCCAACAATAGGAAAACAAAAGACAGACAAAGTAGGATAAAATCATAGTGACTTTCTTCACGAGGCTGCCTCTTTCTACACACGGGACCGTATTTGGTTTTACTATGTTCTCTTTTTCTCTGAGCTTCCTTGATGAAACATTGTTTGACCACTTTGCTCTTCCTCAAAGGGCTTACCAAGCAATCTTCCTTTTGCTTTCAACATGGAGTTTAAGTAAAATTGACTATTGTTTTGAAATCTTCTACTGTTATGCGGTAATATTCCCCCAGCTGGCATAACACAAATGCTGCTGACAAAAAGAGATGCTTCGAAAGTGACCAGAAACATCCCATCCTGAATGACTGGAAGAGTGGACCGTGACCATTAACTGAAAAAATGTCAACACCTACCGTATTTGCCGGCGTATAAGACGACTGGGCGTATAAGACGACCCCCTAACATTTCCACTCAAAATACAGAGTTTGTTATATACTCGCCGT